AATAGCTAACCATCTCAGTTGTTCAGAATGTTTTACCAATGCCTTTTCAAGCCATTTGGCTGCAATCGGTAGCCAAAGGAGACCTGTTTTAAGTGCCAGTATCTTACATAATACCTCTGAGAAACTGACTCCTAGGATTATCCTGCTCTTGTTACAAGACAAATTCTGAAAACCCTTAGTAGTATAGACACATAGCGGATGGTACTTGATAGGCTAAAGTGAGCCCTCAGTTGTTATTGGAAACATAACGGTGATGTGACAATGACACAACCATATATATTTTAATACCCTGAGACCCATGTGGGAAGATTTCTAACTCAAGAGTTATGTACGACATTTAATTCACAAAGAAATCGCAGAGTCAGGAAGCTCAGGAAATAGAATTTTTGGCCTATGTTGCATTTAAGAAGAAGTATAGAACCATGAAAACAAAAGTAAAAGATTTGGGTACTGTCTTCCCTCTGTCTTTCAACTTCCCCACATGCCCCACTACTGCATCTTATCCAAAAGCTAAGCCTGACCCCACATTTTCTTCCTCACACCTCAAATGCCTCTTCCCTTCCCCACAGTGCTTCCCTGCCAGCCCTAGCACAGTGAGTCTCACCCTTGGTGGCACACTGGGAGCACTTGTGGAGCTTCCAGCACTACAGAAGCCTAGGTTCCACCCCAAAAAAATTCTGATTTCATTAGTCTGAGCTCTGGTCTGGGTATCAGGATTTTTTAAAAACTCCCCAAGTGATGCTGGAGCGCCTGGGTGGCTCAGTCGGTTAGGTGTCCAACTCTTGGTTTCAGCTCAGGTCATGATCTCATGCGTCGTGGGATTGAGCCCTGTGTTGGTCTCCATGCTCAGCGCAGAGTCTGCTTGAGATTCTCTCTCCTTCTCCCTACCCCTTGCTTGTGCATGTGCTTGTGTACACATGCACACGCGGTCTCTCTCTCTCTCTCTCAAATAAATAAGGGGCACCTGGATGGCTCAGTCAGTTAAGCATCTGACTTCAGTTCAGGTCATGATCTCAGGGTCCTGGGATCGAGCCTGGGATAGAGCCCACATAGAGCTTCCTACTCAGCAGGGAGTCTGTCCCTCTCTCTCTCTCTCCCTCCCTCTGGTCCTTCCCCCAACCCCCATGCGCTCTTGTGCACGCTCTCGAGCACACTCTCTCTCTCTCAAAGAAATAAATAAAATCTTTTTAAATTTATTTAAAAAAAATTTTTTTTAAAACAAAATCTTAAAAAAAAAACAACAACTCCCCAAAATTCCCCTAATGTGCAGCGAGGATGGAAACCACTCTCCTAGCACACTTTTGGTAAGGAAGAGCCAGGCAAAGTAGCAAAATAAAACAAGATGAGACAATCAAAACCAAAATGAGGGCTCAATTCCACATGCCCAGACAAGCAGTGAGATCTATGAATATGATTCCTAAAGCCAAGCACCATCATCAGTTTCTCACTCTCCCCCTCCCTAACCCTGACCAGCACCTTTCTGTCCATCCCTTTCTACCCAGTCCTCCTGCTATCAAGCTAGCTCACTCCCCTTCATTTTGCACCTGTCCCAGTGTAGAAGCCCCTAATCAGTCTCCCTGCCTCCTCTTCTGGCTCCGTCTGATCCACCGTGCACACCACTACCAGACTGATCTGGTTGTCATTCTCCTCGAAACCTCCAACGGCCTCTTCGTGCTCACTATGTCTAAACTCCTTAACTTGGTGGAAAAGGCCTTACCTAGCCTGTTTCCAGATGTCTTTCCAGCTCTCATTTCTCACTACTGTCTGAAAAGGAGCCTCACTCTGTTCTGATCAACCTGCATGGTCTATAATTCCCCAAACATACTTTATTTAAAACTTCAAAATTCAGGGGACATTGGAAATAGAAGCCAAACGTTTTGCCCCAGATCACTCAGCTAGTGAGCAGTAGAATGTGGATTTCATTCCAGATCGGGGCTGTGTCCAAAGCTGTTAAACACCACCCTATTCTCTCTCTCTGGAATGTCACCTTCCATATCTACCTGTGGAAATCTTACCTATCTTTCAAGGCTATTCGTTCCTAAAGCTTTCCTTGTTATTCTTGTCTGAAGTGACTTTTCTCTCTTCTGACTTTCTTTAGCACTCTGTTCGCATATTTCACAAAATATCACGACAAAAGAGTCCTGTGACAAGCTTCTTGAGGTTCAAGATACACTGTTATGGCCTCATCGGTCCTTTATAGCACCTAACAGAACCATCCACACTGTTGGCACACAGCAAAGTTCTGGTGAAGAACGAGCTGCCATGGGAAGCTTTCTGTCCTCACCCAACCCAGCCACAGTGAGAGGTCCTTATTAATTTCAAGCACAGAGGTATCCTTTCCCTACCCTGGGTATCCTGCCATCCTCCTCTTCAAGTGCATCAATTCTTCCTTGTTCTATATCATGAGCCCTCTGCCAACTGCCTATAAAACATTTTGCAGCCTGGGAAGGGCTCTGTTGCCTGGCAACCACTAAGATTTAGAAAGATGCATATGATGGTAAGTAGGAATCATAAAAGAAACAAGGGTAGTTTCATTCTTTGGAACCTGAAATGGAACCTGGACAGTAAGGTTCAGGTCAAATTCCCATTTTGGGCCTTCTTACCCATTGTCTCTGTTTTAAATAGGGGTGGGGCAGCAAGTGGGGTATGAGCAAATGCCAGGAAGAGGAAAGGGTAATAACTGGTCAGACAGCTATTCTTTCTCAAGAACAAAAGCATTCTAGGAAAGGGGAAAACTCCTTGTTTACAAGAAATTATATAAGGAACATAGGGCAGAAAAAAGACACCAGGCCAAAACATTAGTCCCTGATTTTGTCTTCTCTTCTCTTCTACATCTGGGAGATAGGGGTTCTACCCTTCAATGTTTCTCTCTACACTGGCACTGCCATCCACAGATGGCACTCAGTGTATGCTTCTCAGTGTGACTCAGAAAATGCTCAAGTACAAGATGAAAACCACCCATTTTGTTTAGCATATGATTGCATCTGGGGATTCAGGAAAATTAGATGGTGAGTTTAAAACAAACATAATGAGAATGGGGGGGCCACGTCCACCTGTTGCCCACCTCCCTGCTTACCCCCTTCCTTTGCTGTTCCCCATGGAAGGAGAAGTTCCTAAATTGATGGGTCACTGTTTTAGAATGCAATCGAGCCAAAGAGGGGGACCAGGTTCAACTCCCTATAAACCAGGGAGGTAAAGGCAGGAAGACTGGGGTTCCCCTCTCTTCTGTCAGCAGCCTCCTTCTCACTCTATAATAAATACTCATTGATTGAAATGAATTATATCAGAACTGGAAGTTCCACCAACAATACTTCTTGAGAACCTACTATGTGCTGGGCACTGCGCTAGGGCTAGAGATAAAAGAGAAAACAAAACAAAACCAAAGCATTGGCCCCTACTTGAGTTGTTCTGTCTAATGGGAAATGCAGAAATAACTTCCATATACTATATAAGGGGTAAGATCAGGAGTCTATGGAAATTAAGAGTCTATGAGAGCAGAACTGAAGTCAGGGAAGGAGCCCTTGAAGAAATGAGATCAGACCGAGGGCTGATGAACGTGTAGAAGTTAGCCAGATCAAGAAGGGTGGGAAAGGTGCTCAGCAGAGAACCACTTGAGCTCAGCCCAGAGACATACAGCATCCTTCCTTCAAATCAATAAAACCCCAAATCCTCACGTGTCTATGTAATACATGCCATATTCAGGGATCAAAGGTACAAAGGAAGGGAACTGGTGAAATATAATTTAAGCACTAAACTTTGAAGAAGTGCATTAAATAGAAATCCATAGCCTTCCCTGAAAAAAGAAGAAAGGTAACAAGCAAACACAAAAACCAAAAAAACTTTTAGAGTGAGTTTGGTTAAAGCAAACAACTCAACTGCCTGATCTCCACAGGTGGGATGAAACACCAGGTGGCCTTTCAATCACAAAGCTGGTGTTAACCTCGAAATCACATGAGGCAGACAGAAGGCAAGCTAAAGAGCACACACATGGCCTAACCTCACAGCAGTTAAGTGAGAGAAGATGTCATAAACACTATAACCCCATGGAGGGCAGGGCCTTTCCTGGCTGGAGAGTGGACACGGCACTAAGAGTTGGTTCTGACCCCACTCCCAGCTCGATCTCTGTCTGTGAAATGGTTGTCACCAATATGAACTCTGTCCCACACTCCACACCTTGGATGCCTGGGTATTTACTGACTTCACTGGATAAAGGTATGAGGCCCGGGTTAGAGAGAGTGGAAACAGCTGATGCCAAAAACATCTTTGTCAAGGTCTTAGCTATAAGCACAGTTTTTATTCCCGACCTTTGTTTCCTAGCTCTTTGCCTCTCTTACCTGTCCATCTGAATAGGGCAGGTATAAAATCTTCCCCTAAATTCCTTACTTGGGGGAGATAACTAAATTAACTCCATGGGGCGCCTGGGTGGCTCAGTTGGTTAAGCGACTGTCTTTGGCTCAGGTCATGATCCTGGAGTCCCTGGATCGAGTCCCGCATCGGGCTCCCTGCTCAGCAGGGCGTCTGCTTCTCCCTCTGACCCTCCCCCCTCTCATGTGCTCTCTCTCTCTCAGTCTCTCTCTCTCAAATAAATAAATAAAATCTTTAAAAAAAAAAAATTAACTCCTAAAATGGCTTGACCTCCTTGAACAATGGCCATGTGTCCCAGATGACAGGCCCCAGGAAGCCAGAATTACTTTAATCCAGAGCAATGAACCTGAAGGCACAAAGTCAGCATTAGCTATTCAGTCAATGTTTCATTCACTCAACAATGTTTATTGAGTACCCCCTATGTGCACACCAGAGTCAAAATGGACATTCATTTATCATTGTTTTCTAGACTCTTCTCCCATCCCTTGTCTGTGATGGATAAATAAGAGAAATTGGCCAAGCTACATATTAGTGTGAGCCGTGCTCAGGGAAAATTCTATCTCAGCCCAGCCCTGCTACATGAGAAATTCAGAATAAAGCCAGTGACTGGCAGCAAACCGCTATGTTCAGCTCACCTGGGGATGCTAGTCAGGTAGGTCATGACATTCAGGAAGTCTTCCTCTGGGAGGTGTTTGAACCCCACAAACTCTGGAAAAGTGATGATGGGGGCACCATCTTTCCCTCGACCTCCTGCAACAAAAACGGGTGGTCAAGATGTTAATAAAATGTCTTGGTGTCACATCCTGCAGGTAAGGGACTTTGACTAATATCAAGTTGGGAGATAGATACTGGCCTCCCCCTTTTCTCTCTGTATTATTTCAGACTAGAATGTGGGAAGGTTGACATGGAACTATTTTGAACAAGTCTCTTCTTCATGCTTGCTCAAGTGATATTGTGAGAATTTACTTCTTAAATCCTTTGAAGATAGTTACTGTATAAAAGGTAGTATTAATTTAATTACTTTAGCATAGGTGGAACAGTAAATAATGCCAACACGAATATATAATATTGTTCTTCATTTTTGTAGTCAGTAAATATCAAAGGTAAAAGAGCATGGTGGTTAAGAGAGTTCATTCTAAAATCAGGCAGCCCAAGATGCGTGGCTGGGTGGCTCAGTCACTTAAAAATTGGTAAGGAAGAAGTAAAACTGTTATTTGCAGATGCCATGATACTATATATATATAGAAAACCCTAAAGTCACCACCAAAAAACTACTAGAACAGATAAATGAATTCAATAAAGTCAC